TACAGTGATATCAGTGATATGAAATATAGTATGTGAGATTTTATGCAAAATTTGTAATTTTGTTTCTTTTGTAAAATTTATTTTCAAAAAAAAAAGAAAAAAAATGAAAAAAATTTTGAATAATCAATAAAAACACCAAAAATTTTAATATTTTTACATTCATAATATTTATGCTTACTTATATTTTCAATCATAACTTAAAATATTACACTTTTTTTTCAAAAATTTTATTTAAAATTTAATAATTTTATTAAAAAATGAACGTGAAGTGTGGCAATTTCTATAACACGTCAAAAAAGAAAAAAAAAATGGGAATAAATTAAGTTTTTGCGAATTTCATTCGGAATATATTTCAAAATTAAATTTTTAATAGAATAGGGATGATAATTGATAAATCAATTGATAGTATGATAAATCATATTATACTTTATCATTCTTTTCTTTGTTTCTTCACCTCTCTCTCTAATTTTATCATAGCTCCCAATTCTTATCAATTATCAAATTTGATAATTTTCCCCAAAATTTTACTAATTTCTGATTTATCATAAATTATTTCATTCACTGATAACTTTGTTAAATAAAAAAAAAAAGCAAATGAATAAAATTTTATTTAAACTTATTCCAAATTTTAATTTATCACTTTTTCTTTGTATTGCGAGTAACGAAATTCAAGTACTTTTGTTAAAGAAAAAAAATTTTTTTTTACAAATTTTTATAATTTTATTGGAAAAATTTTGATACCTTTCACCGATACTTTGAAACATAACAAGTCCTAGAGGAATACCAGCTAACGCATAAAACATGCAAAATGTTTTACCACCAGTTGTTGATGGTGTACTGTGTCCATAACCTAAAATTACAGTAAAATTATAAAAGTCACAGTTAAATAAAATTACAGTAAAATTCAATGAATTAGTATTACTGTCATCATATCATATCATATCAAGGAATAATATTGCTAAGTTTTTTGCTAACTTGTTAAGTTTTTTTTCTTTCCTTCCTCAATGATTGATTAAACTGTAATTTTTTTATAGAATTTTAATTTAGAAATGGAAAAGATAAAGGAACTAAAGTAATGGAATAATTTCTATCATTAATGTAATTACAGTATCATTAATGTAATTACAGTTAGAATGCGTAATATTTAAATGATTGAGAAATAAATTCAAATAATTTTAATTAATAAAATAATTTATAGATTAATGAAAAAAAAAGGAATTGAATGTCAAAAGCAAAATGGAAAAAAAGCTAAAAGAACTGAAAAAATATTTAATTTTTTATCAAATTTAAAAATAAAAATAAAAATTTCAACGAAATGAACTTTGATCTACTGCTAACTGTTTATTTTAAATGTTAGAAAATAAAAAAAATTTACACGAAATGAACTTTGACCGATTGATAATTGTTTATTTTAGATGTACAAATTACTGAAACAAATAAATGTGAACATCAAAAATGATAATATTTATTTGAAAGTAAAAACAACGAAAACAAATGAAACAAATGAATGTTGAAAAAAAGTAATAGATCAGATTTTATTTGAAAAGAATTTTGTGTTTTTAAATTTCAGATATTAATTATATATATATATATATGTATATATGTACATATATTCAAATATATGCGAAATAAAGTTAAACTGAATATTTGAATATCTAACTAGAATTTGTTAATATATTTTATCATTTTGTTAGCATTCTGCAAACAATTTTTACTCAAAAATTTGTCATGAAACATTCAGTTGGATTTAAATTAAACTTTAAATTTTGCTTTATTACTTCCATCTTTTCTATTTTTTCCCAATTGAATTGTTAAATTTAATTTCCAATTAATTATTCCTTCATTACAATGTTAATTTCTATTACATCCTATCTGCTACCATATCAAATTTATAATAACAAAATAAAAACAAGGAAAAAACACACAAAATAAAAAATGAATTGAATTGAAAGAAATGAATTGAATTAAATTTACTAATTATAGGCATAATATGCAAATGATTCAATCATTCTTTTAATTACAATTATCAACAAATGATAATTAACCTGATATACAATGATTTGTTATCATTCAATGATCTGTTATCATTCAATGATCTGTTATCATTTCTTTTTTTAATCACTTTTGTAAAAATAAATAATACAAATGATAATTAATTACCAATAGTAGTGATAACAGTGGTAGCAAAATAAAATGCACCACTAAATTTCCATTGATGACCAGCACGATGAGGTATTGATCTCATAATAATTGCTTCTAATACACCATAATCAGCATTACTGATATTATACTTATCAATTAAACTTCTCTTCACTTTTGATACCAATGCTCTCTGCAAATATTTCAATTTTTTTTTATTTTAATATTTCAATTTTCAAGTTTTTATTTCAAACATTTCAATTTTTTATTCATTTATTTATTTTTTTTTAAACAATTACATGAAATTTATTCAATTTAATTTATTAAAATCATTTAATTATGCAATTCAAGATAATGATTTGAATTTATAAAAGTGATAATGCATTTTTTGTGATTTTTTTAAATTTAATAAAATTTAATTTAAATTTTTGCCATCTAAAAATGAAAAGTGATATAATACTATTAGCAATATTATTATGATAATTTAATTATAAATGTTCAAACTTTTTTTTTTAAACAAAATGATTGAATTAGTTGTTTAGTAATAAAAAATGATCAATTTTATTTATAAAAAATTTTTTTTTTCTTTAAGGAAAAAAGAAAAAGGAAACTTTGCATGTTTATTGAATTATCAACAAATGATAATCAATATACAATAAACAATGATTTGTTATCATTCTTTTTGTTTATCTCTTTTGTAAAAAATAAACAAATAAAATAAACAATGTAAAATAAAGATTTTCAAATAATTATCATATCATTTATTTTCATTATATTCAAATATTTGAAACATTTGAATGTTTCTTTTTTTTTTAAAAAAAAACTTTCATTTATTAAACTTCCATTTATTAAAAAAAAAACTTTCATTTTTTAATTAAAAGAAAAAAAACTTCCATTTATTAATTATTCCTTTTGATCATTTGGGAAACATTTCTTTTTTACATTTAATAATTATTTACATTGTTAGCATATTTGTTAATTACTAATTAGGTTATATTAATAATAATAGTAATTATTATTATATATTGATGATAAGAAAAAAAAAGAAAAAAAAAATTAATTCAACATTTCTGTAGTTTTTTTTTTTTTTTTTGTAATATTTTAATACTAAATGCTTTTCAATTTTTAATTAATTTAATTTATATCAAATAATTCATTTAATTGTAATTAATAAAAAAAATTTCCTATAATTAATTTACCTGTTGTCAAATAATTCATTTAATTGTAATTAATAAAAAAAATTTCCTATAATTAATTTACCTGTTGCATTTCGTTATCAGATTCTAATGCATCAAAAACAGCCGCACCAATTACTAAATATGTTAATGTACAAACAATTAACGATAGCGTACGAATATTTTGACGTTTCATGCCACATTACCGCCACATATAAAATTTCTTTTCTTTCCCTACCGGAATACTTTATCAATTCGTCCGGATATTGATTGGGAAATTTCCGGCGGAATATTTTTCTTGTGAATTGCCATA